CAAACAACACCCCGCTCACAAGTGACGCCCAACGTGAGGCTTCGAGTCGAAGCTACATAAGCATTGTGACAAAAATACCCACTACGGCGGTGTTTTTACCTGAGAAGACAACACGTTAATGAGTGGAGACAGCTCTGACAACGAAATTGATTACGAAGACCCTTTTGAATCAACATATTACGTTACTCGAACAGGACGTGTAACTACTATCAAAATGGCGCAACCCAAGCTGTACGCTCTAACCGAAGATGTGCTGGAGAAATTTATAACACAGCTCGCTCCAAGTAAATCTGCAACAGAAATAGGTTCTTTGACCACGTGCAACTACTTCTACGATGGACGCAGGAGTGCTGATGCAGTGGAAGCCTTTTTATCGGCAGTGCAAATATTTAAGGGTCGGCATAAGATCACTGATGAAGTTGCTTTAGAGGAGTTACCATTGTTACTCAAAGATGAGGCCGGAATTTGGTGGCAGGGTGTGAAGAATGAGATTGATACATGGCAGAAGTTCGAAAAATGTCTAAGAGATTATTTTGCACCCAAAAAAGAAGCTTACCTCATACTTAATGAGATAACGCAAATCAAGCAGGGGAATGACGTATCCACCGAAGACTTTATTCGCCGCAAACGATTTCTGTTTTCTCAACTTGCAAACCCTGCGCTAACGGAATCGTTTCAGCTGGACCTACTGTATGGTATTTTAAACCTAGGCATAAGAGACAAAATACCTCGGGGTAGTGTCAACACCTTTGATGACCTCATATACGCTGCTCGAGCAGTTGAACATGTCATAAAAGAAAAGGCTGAACCAAACGAAGGCATCATATATACACCAAAGCCAGGCGGACAAAAGAAAAGGTGTAAGTTTTGCAAGAATTTGGGTCATACGATTGAGACTTGTAGGAAGAAGCAATTCGTAGAAGACAAGAAGAAGCATGATGTACTTCATCTCAAAGATAAAACCGAAGCAAACACGCAGGCTCCTTCGCCCTCTACTCCCAGGTTTAGCTGCTATGGTTGTGGTGCACCGGGTGTAGTTCGTTCCAACTGCCCGACTTGCCATAGAAATAAGAACGCCCAAGATGTTGGAGTGTATCATGTAACCGATACCCCTACTGACAGTAGAGACAGGCCAATGGTATACATCGAAATAGATGATATAGTGACTCCAGCATTTATTGATACTGGGGCCAAAACAAGTATCGCCTCATTTTCACTATATCAGAAATTGAAAAGTAAGGGTTATCGATTTAAGGAAGTACATGTTGGTATAACTCTAGCAGATGGCAGCAAAAGAAATCAAAATGTATTGGTCACTAAAGTAGCTGTCAACTTTTATACTAAGACCGTCTTGACAAAATTCTTGGTCTTTCCGGAAACACGTAACAATCACTGTCTTCTTGGAGTAAATTTTTTGCAAGACTCACATGTTGTCTTAAACTTGCCACAGAACACATTTCACTTTCTGGAAAATCCCGATTTAGAAAACGAGCTTTACGAAGAGGGCTTTATCACATTCCAAGAAAACATTAATGTTTCTATGGTAACTGCTACTGACCTATGTTCGTCGCGAGTGCCTCAAGTCAACTGCATACATACTGGTGGTGATTTGCGACCGCTCAAATTCCGTATGGATGAGGAGGGTGCAGCTTGGCCGAACGAAAAAAGACACTGTGTCAGACTATTCGATGGGTATTCACCCGTGATGGATGCATTATTTAGAGATGCACAAAACAATCTTTGTGACTATGATCAACATACATGTGAGTCTGATCTTTTCCCAGACATCGGTATTGCATCTCTGGACATGGAAAAAATTAGTTTCGATGACTTTCTTGCACAAAATGAAAGCGTTTTCAAACCAAATAAATTACCAGCAAAGGATGTGGAACATATTATAGATACGGGCGATCATAAGCCCATTTCAAATCCACCTTACAGATTGTCCCCTCTGAAACGCGAGGCGTTGAAGAAGGAAATAGAAAAGATGTTAGAGGAAGATGTAATTGAACCATGTTCATCTCCATGGGCAGCACCGGTAGTCATGGTACCTAAGAAAAATGGAGGTATCAGAGTGTGCATTGATTACCGACAGCTGAACTCAGTTACCGTTCCGGATAAATATCCAATGCCACGGATTGATGATCTACTCCACAATGCAAAGCCCACACCATTCATGAGCACCATTGATCTTCAGACTGGATACTGGCAAATAAGTGTTAGGGAGGAGGACCGAGACAAAACAGCGTTCGTTACGCCATTTGGTATGTATCGATTCAAAAGAATGCCCTTTGGTCTGCGTAACGCACCTGCTACTTTCCAAAGGATGATGGATCGCTTTCGCGTTTCACTTAGCCACACAAACCTTCTGGTTTTTATCGACGATCTGATCATTATGTCTCCTACCTTAGATATACACATGCAGGATCTTAAAGGTGTATTTGATCGTCTCAGAGAAATGAACCTAACTGCTAACAAAGAAAAAAGCCGATTTTGCTGTTCACAAGTAAAGTACTTGGGTCATTACATTACGCCTAAAGGATTGGAAGTAGATCCTCAGAAAACGAGCGCTATACTCAAGATGACACCCCCGCAAAATCTCAAACACCTAATGTCTTTTGTGCAAATGTGTTCTTGGTATAGGCGCTTCATACCAAACTTTGCCAAAATATCCGAACCACTTACTCGCCTTACAAAAAAAAGCGCTAAATGGATATGGGGAGAGGAACAAGAAGAAGCATTTGATAAATTAAGAAAACTATTAACATGTCCTCCAGTATTGGCTCAAGCCGACGAAACCAAGCCCTATATTATAAAGGCTGATGCTAGTGGTTACGCAATCGGTGCAGTTTTGGTCCAGGGGGAGGGAGATCAGGAGCACCCAGTTGAATATGCCAGCCGACTGCTGACTTCGACGGAACGAAATTACAGCACCACTGAAAGAGAAGCTTTGGCAGTGATTTGGGCAATCAATAAATTTCGAGGCTATGTGGAAGGTGCAAAAATTACGGTCTTAACTGACCATCAAGCATTAAAGTGGCTTATGTCTCTCAAATCTCCAACAGGGCGATTAGCAAGATGGGCCCTACAACTTCAGCCCTACGACATCACCATTAAATATATAACCGGTAGGACGAATGTTGTCGCAGACTCCCTTTCACGTCCCACTTGTCAATCTGAAAATAAAGAACATTGTGATGTTTGCGCGATCACAATTGACATGCCGCGCATAGATAAAGAAAAAATAAGAGAAGAGCAGTTTAAGGATGAGGATATTGTAAAAATAGTCAAGTGTTTAGAAAGTAATAGCGAAGAACAAGCCGAGTACTGGAGTAAGAAAGGCTATTTTATGAGCAACGGATTGCTGTATCGGTATGATCCAGAAAACATGGGAGATAACGGGTTGTTGGTTGTGCCTAAACATGAACAACAAAAAGTAATAAAGGCTTATCATGATGAAGCAACGGCAGGACACTATGGATCAGAAAAAACGATAGAGCGTATCACACGTCGATATTTTTGGAAAGGGATGAGAAGCCAAATCGAAGCTTACGTGAAAAAGTGCTTGAGCTGTCAGCGCTATAAAGCCTCGAATCAAAAACCACCAGGCTTACTGCAAACTACAGCTAGTAGCCAAAGATTTGAAGTTGTCGCTTTTGACCTTTTCGGGCCTTTGCCTCGAACTTCAAGTAACTTTAACTGGATTCTTATCATAGAGGACGTTTCTACTCGTTGGGTCGAATTATTTGCTATGCAATATGCTACCGCAGAAGAATGCGCAAATATACTATTAAATGAAATAATTCTTCGATATGGCACACCTCGTCGCTTCCTTAGCGACAATGGGACACAGTTCGTTAGTAGTGTTATGCAAAAATTGACATTTTGCCTAAACATACATCACGGATTTACTCCTGTCTATCATCCGGAGACAAATCCAGTTGAACGAAGAAATCGTGATCTAAAAATTCAACTTGGTATCTTAGTAGATAATGATCATACCACTTGGCCAGACAAGCTACCTAGTATCCGTTTTGCCATGAATACGGCTATCTGCAGCTCTACAGGATTTTCTCCAGCCTACTTAACTTTTGGCCGTGAGCTCCGTACTCCGGATGACGTTGAGCATGATCTCCGAGAAATCATACAAAATGATAATTTTGTCGCTGAAATAACCCCGAAGCTTTTGTTAATGGCAGATACGCTCAAAAAAGCTAGGGAAGTCCAAGAAATGAAGGAAGAGAAACGAAAAGAATACGTGGACAAAATGAGGAAGTCACGTCCATCTTACATGGATGGAGATCTTGTTTTAGTTGATACACACGTTTTAAGTAAAGCTAGGCAAGGATATAGCGCTAAACTAGCACCACGACGTGACGGACCGTATATAATCAAACGGCGTCATGGGCCAAGTTCGTTTGAAATTGCCAACCCTATTACAAAAGAAGCTGTTGGAATTTATCACTCATCTGCATTACGTCGTTTCCAAGGAGACGATAAAGACCCATTACCCACACCTAAGGCACCCATTAGGAAGAGAGGACGCCCTCGCAAGCAGCACTCAAAGTAGCTACCAATATAGTAATATAGGTCCTGTTTCACTTGTCGGGACGACCAAGGAAACAGAGGGGGAGGCTATAACAATACAAACAATAATACGGTAGCAGATGCGGCTCCACCTCGCACCAACAGATGGCGCTGTCTGATTCCTACATCGCGGTAACTTTTGTGATTCAATAATGTATAAGACCTTCAGTCAACCCAATGGTTGTTATCCACTAGTAGGGCCGGTTTAAGGTGCAAACTAACTGCTTTCACCCACGCTGAGACAGTTCAGTTGATACTATAAACCATATGCGTTGTAGAAGATCTGCAAGTTTAGGACTTTCTACGGAGATCCTAAACTGAAGGTTCTAGCTATAACGCCATCCGTACGTCAATTTGTATCCAAATTCTATTCGTATAAATATATATTAACAAAACAACTCCATAAATCGTTTGTTTCTCACCACCAAACAACACCCCGCTCACAACTTTTAATTATAGCCATTACAAAACAAAGTAAAAAAAATTTAAATTGAAAAAAAAAATTAATTATTTCCATCGTCATCGTCGGTATTTCCATTATCTTCATCACTACTCCATTCTGTGGATTTGTCCTCATCACTCAACAGCTTCTGTAATAATTAAAGCAAGTTAGAACAATTATGAATAGCCGATAATTTGTTTATGAACATTGTTCATTATAACATACCTGACAAATTTACTTAAGTGAGCATTGTTCCAAATCGCACAAATATAATTAGCTCGTAAAAAATGCTGCAAAAGCTCATTTTTACAAGGTGGTAAACTCCTAGCATCAAAATTTCTCATTTTTTTACGATTGAAAGCCTCATTAATATCAGATACTTTATACGAGTCCATAAACATCTGAACTCTAGCAGCATCAACATCAATTACATTCCGAGCATTATATACACTACATACATATTTCTGAATACTATTAAAAACGTTCTTCCGTTCATCGCTGTCCTCCATTAATTCGCTTTCGCCAAACTTAATAAAAGCTTTTTGGGACTCGTCGAATTTATTAATAGTTTATAAGGTCTCAATTTTCCTTTTCTAAATAATGCCGGATTGTAATCGCACCCTGTAATGGCGTGGAAACCAGGCAAGCTTCAACACATTGATTCTCCTAACTGTCCGTGTATCTTCGTTAGATCCACGTACCTTACATTGTTTCCAGTGCCCGTCAACATTCAAACAATGGAATCATTTTAGGCGATGTAAATGAGCAAGCATTATCGCGGCAATATCAGTGTCAACAGTTCGAATGACTATATTTGCTTTAAAGTTGTAATTACAGACATGAAATATTATTTTGGTATCAGCTTCCTCATGTTCCGGGCATGAGAATTCTTCATTAATACCAGAAACAACTTTTTGGGAATCATTTACTGTGAAATAATGGCATTTTTTAAAGTTTAGATGAATTAATGTATTGCCAATGAATGGTGCCATTTCATCAGTAGCCCAATGCAAAATAAAAAAGTTTGCAGAAGCTTTTTTAAAATATGAATTTTTTAGCTCTTTTGTAAAATCACTTGGTACTTTTTGGTCCGGTGAAGTTATAATATAGTCTAATTGTGCTGATTCGGATCGCTGAGAATGCTCGTAATCTTTTATTGAGGGTGTCAAGTATTGATCAAAGATTACATCAACTCTCAATGCCTTTAATAGTGTAACCATTTTTAAGAATTGCTTTGAAATTGCTCCAAATAGTTTAATTAAAACATCAATATGACTCATGCTCATGTTGTACCTCCTTCTCCAAGCACTTCATCAGAGCAGCTTTATCCGTTTTACAAATTGTGCTATCTAAATGGCACAATAACAATGGTACCGACGTAATGGGGTAGGATAAAATCTTTGATATGTCAACTTTATAATCTATAGATATACCCAGCATTCGCCCGAAGAAATCTCGTTGGGTTTTTACTTCTTGAATTTTACCACCTACTTTAAGTTTCTTTTTTTTATAATCCTTGGTAAAATTATTGATGGACACTTTTTTATAGCACTCTCAAATCTTTTGATATCCAATTGACATTTAGAAATAAATGTTTTACGATAATTATTAAAACATTGAATTGTTTAAAAGATATTCCTCAACCGGTGGCGATGCAAAGTTTCTTGTAGAAATATTGAGTAATTGACCTTTTGGAACTTCTGGGCTGAAAGGATTAATAAATCGTTCGAAGGTCGATACAAATTTTTGTAGTTGTTGACTGTTCTTACGGATATTGCGACTATTTAGATCTGCTGAGACATCTTGATTAGTTTGGAGTCCTAGTTCGAGATAAAGTTGATTTATTATACTGGATCTTATATCGAACTGAACAATATATCAGATTGTTCAGTTGTATGTAACTCGACGTTCTGATAAATAATTCCTACTGTGTCGTGTAGAGTATCCTTTCCATTAGTAGTTTCGACAAAACGATCGAAAAGTTTCTCAGACTTTACAAGTGTCAAATGTTTTATTATATCTGAGACTTAAGTTTCTGCAAGGATATTTGATCTGCGTTTACCAAGAAACTTAGTTAATAGTTATACGTTTTGGCAGAAATCCTTCTCAGCTTTGGTTCCACTTCGTCTTTTTTTGCCACATTGTAAGAGTACATCTACTTCTCAGAATGCTGTAAATAAGAAAACTGGAGAACTGATTATGATGAACCCTCACACCATTACATTCTGCGACGTAGATATCTTGTGATTAACAACATCTATGCATATCGCCAGTCACATTTTCCAGCTTCATCTGTGACAACATCTGGATTGGATAGCAGCAAAATCATTACTATCATTATCATTTCTATCTTAACTGATGGTTTTATTCATAGTAAAACTGCTTTTTTTTTTAAAGTACGTAGAAAAGCGATTTTATAATTTGTAGATACCTAGTTTCTATTGTCTATTATTGTCTGATAGCAATGCCACTTAAAGGTTTATTATTGAGATATTATGAGTAATATAACGACTAAAAAGCTTGAAAATACGATTATAAACTGCTCCACAGCACTGTTTCAAGTTACATGTCAAGTGCCTTTGTACTAAACGTAGTACAGCAGCACTTAACATGTTATAACTTGAAACACTTTTTAAAAATTTAGTTTGTCTAAGTGTGTTACAAATAAATAGTATATTATTGAGTAAAAACTAAATCTTTTTAACATTCAATGGTCATTCTTTTACAAAGTGATAAATACGTACTCACCGACATATATCGAAAAATAACTGGCACAAAATGCTCACTACTCTCAGACTATTTAGTGATTGCCATCTAGGGATGAACAAAACCTTTATTTAAGTGATCTAATTAGTGTTTTGGAAATTCAAAGAAGACGACCTAGAAAAGAAGAACCTGGAGCTAAGTTACATAAAGCAAATTACGCTTACATAGTGAGAGTTGTAGACGAAACCCAGCAGCTTGTTGTGCCAGTGTGCCTTAGCATTTATTGCAATACAAAGAGAAACAAGACAAAGAATATGTACAATAAAAAAATCGTTACTCACAACAGGTAAAGCTCGAACTGATGTGAGAGGGAAACATTGCAACCACCCTCAAAAACTTAGTCTAATGCATAAATCTAAGGTCATGGATAACATAAGGTCATTGCGTGGAAGAAAAAGTCATTACAGCTTACATGACAGCTCAAAAATTTATCTACCAGAGGAGTTGAGTGTCAAGAAAATGTATGATATGTTCGAAGACAAAAATCAACTATCCTACGAATCATATCGATCTATATTCGTTAATCATTTCAACATAGGATTTGGAGATCCCAAAATTGATACCTGCACTATTTGTGATGAATTTCTGACTAAGGCAGAATCTCTCACAGTAAATCGAAAGAATGCTTCCGAGCTCGAAAGCGGTGACATTGAAAAATAAATAAAGAAGTTAGAAACTGAGAATAAGTTACATAAATTGAAGGCTAATGTTTTCTATAAACGAAAAAGACAAACTAGAATTCGATGACAGTCTCCTTCTCGAAAGGAAGCTTCTGCAATGGACTTTCAAAAAATATAAGTAAGCCAAACATTACCACAAATAACGTTAATTAAAAAAGACAACTAACCCTAAATCTTTTTAACATCCATGAACTATCTACATCCAAACTATATTTCTTCTGCTACCCAGAAATTATAGCAAAAAAATGATCTGACGAAGTGTGTTCATTTCTCCGTCACTATTTATTTAACATACTGGATAATAATACTCGAGAACTAGTGATATTTTGTGATTCCTGCGGTGGAAAAATAAGAATTATACTGTGTTTCGTTTAATACACTATGTTGTACACTGTGCAAAATGCTTGGATGTGATTAAAATCATATTTCCCATTCTCGGGCACTCATATTTAGAATTTGACAGAAATATGGGTTGCATAAACAAGAAATCACCTTGTGAAACGCCTGATGTGTGGGTAAAAGTGATTCGTGAAGCTAGTCAGAAGCCATGCCCTTTTCATGTGATTGAAGTTGATCAACCGCTTGTCAGAAAATTGACAACTTTTCTATCCCCAATGTTTACGAAGACATGCCCTGTTTTTATTTCGACCCATGAGAGAAATCAGGTTAAAAAGGATCACCCAAGATTAATTTTTCACAGAGAACATTACAATTCCTTTTGGACGTCATCTATTCTCATAGTGCTGGTAGTTTGTACTGCCAGTTTAATCCTACGAAGACAGCTTTCCAGTTTCAAATTTATGGATATCCAGGCCCTGTCAAAGTTTTGTGGACCAAAAGCTAAGTAATACTTCTCACAGTTAAAATATAATGATACTTGAACAATAAATATTTCATGGAAATTGCATATTATTTGCCTGTATTGTCTGACTTTGTTCTGTTTTCCTATGCTAACTCAATAAACATAAGAATAAAAAGGTTTTGTTTTTACTACACAACAGAAAGAAATATACATTCTGTATAAATAAATATATTTTCCTTATATTTGAAATTTTATTGTACCTTTTCTCATGGATCAAAAGATTAATTTAGCTTTTCTTAATTTACCAATTTCTCAGTTCATTGTCTTTGTGACATTGGATGTTTTCCCCCTGTGCCCTTCGATTGCATTATATTAGTGTTTAGGGGATGTTTGGTAATTGACTTTTCAGGTAGTTCTTATGTTTGGAAGCATTTTCTCAAATCAAATGATGGATTAATGGCAAAATGTAAACAGTGCAATGTTATACTTAAAACCACCGCTAGATCAACCAAAGGATTACAAGTACATTTGAAATCTAAGCATCATATAGAGGATTTAAGCAAAAAAAGACCATTTTCCAATTCAAAACAGCGCGAATTCAATGGAAGAAAGAGTTGCACGTATGACTGCAAAAGACGGCTTACTCTTTAGTGTATTCGTAACATTTACGAGATTTGTTTCAATAAAAAGGCTTCCTTCTGCCTCGATCTTCAACATCTATTCGAATGATGGTTATGAACTACGGAATGACTCTTCGTATGAAAGTTCTACATGAATTGTCACAATTGAAACAAATTGAGCACCGTTTTTCGCTCACTTTTGACGAGTGGACGTCTACAGGTAACTTAACGTTCATGCCTACGCAAATGATCGTGCTTTGTTTTGGAATTTAGGACTTACTCGTATTTTTGGAATAATGCCAGCAACAGTTTGCGTAGAAACCTTAAAAAGAAAATAAAGGAATTTGACCTTGATTTAGACAAAGATGTTGTTGCAATTACAACTGACGGAGCCTTGGTTATGGTTAAAACCAGTAGTTTGATTCCAGCATTTCAACAACTGTGCTGTGCCCATGGGTTGCAACTTGGAATATTAAACGTAATAAATAAAGATGGTGAAATCGCAGTTGAAGAAGTGTCTTCGGAGATGGAAGGAGAATTGATACCTGATTTTAACGATATAATCAACAGGATTCGAAAAATTGTACGGATGTTTAAAGGCTCTCCAACTAAAAATGACGTGTTTCAGCGATACATCAAGAAAGACTTTGGACGAAGAATAGAATTAGATAGAGATTGTAAGACAAGATGGAGTAGTTTGGCTACCGTGGTAGAAACATTTAACAAATTGAAATTGTGCATTGCTAAAGCATCGATTGATCTGGGCCTTAGTACGAACATTGAGTATAGGTTTTTAGAACATGATTTTGATGCTTTAATAAATCTAGAAAATATCTTAAAGCCGGTAAAACTTGCTGTCGAAGTCCTTTGTCGTCAAGATGCCAATCTCATTACTGCTGAAGCTACGCTCAAATTTATGATCAAGAAACTGGAAGATAATCATTCAACGTTAGCTTCAGAATTAGCTTTGTCTTTGCGCCGACGTATTTTACAACGACGTAGGAATGTAACTGCATTACTGATTTATCTCCAAAATCCTCGTAGTTACCACGCGACGTGTGACGATGAAACTTTTCATCTTCCACCGAAAAGTATACTTCAAAAAGAAATTAAAGATTTTGTAACGAAAATGAACTTCAGCCTTTTAAATTCATCTGAGAGCAATGATGATCGGGTTCCGATCTTGATCTTACATTATAACAGGAGTTAGAGTTGACTATACGAGGGTCAAACTGAAAGTTCTTAGAAAATCAAAAACTGATTACATTAGCCAGTTATTAGTTTTATTATATCTTTTCAAAATATTGTCCATTCACGTCAATACACCGCTGCATGCGATGGAACCACTGGGAAAAGCACTTTGCCCACTCGTCCTTAGGGGTCTCTTCAATGGCATCGCGATACGCAGCCACCGCTTCTTCAGCATTCATAAACCGCTTTCCTTTAAGTTTTTCTTTAATTTTTGGAAATAAATAAAAATCACAAGGCGCGAGGTCGGGGCTATACGGCGGGTGACCCAGTAATTCAACGTTTGATGTCGCCAAATAGTCGATCGTTCGCTTGGCGGTGTGCGACGAGGCGTTGTCGTGGTGAAGGAGGATCCTACTGCGAGGTCGTTTCTCTCGAACTTTTTCCAAGACAAGTGGCAAACAATTGGTAGTGTACCATTCTGCAGAAACTGTTTTTTGATCCTCTAACACAATTGTTGCAAAATGACCTATCCTTCCAAAGAACGAGGCCACCATTTTTTTTCCCGCACTTCGATCTCTCTTCACTTTAGTTGGCAACTCCTCGAAAGGAAACACCCACTGAGCAGATTGTCTTTTGGTTTTAGGATCATAACAGTAAATCCAGCTTTCGTCACCTGTTAGTATGTCGAACACAGCATTTGAGTCACCTCCGTTAAATCTTTCAATCATTTTACGACACCAATCCACACGATGGAGTTTTTGAGCCTCAGTCAAATTATGAGGTATCCACCGGGCGCAAAGCTTCCTGACCGCTAAATGTTCGTGGAGGATTTTGTGCACTTGACTCATACCGATGCCTAAGCTTGTCCGAATCTGTTGATAGGTCACTCTTTTGTCAGTCTCTATCATACGCCGCACAACACAGATGTTATCTTCAGTCGTCGCCGTAGAAGGCCGTCCCTCACGTAAATCATCAGTGAGATTAGTGCGACCACGTTTAAACTCATTAAACCAGTTGTAAACAGTCGCACGAGATGGGGCTTCATCGTGAAAGGCCAATCGTAGTCTATCATAACTTTCTTGTTGACTTAAATGACATCGAAAGTCATAAAAAATCATTGCACGAAAATTTTCTCGTGTTAAATTCATGATGACGTGACACAGACAATTTTCAATTTGCCGCCAAATCGTAAAACAAATGACAAATGAATGAAATATATACTCAGTAATATTGGCAAAGAGTTATATTTTCAAATTTTAGAATTATTTTTTTATTATATTGTTTATAAGTGGCCAGTTCTAAGAACTTTCAGTTTGACCCTCGTATCGTCCGCATGTAATGTGCTTTGCCCGTCACCATCTCGAGCTAATACACTTGAGTCCATTATAAAAATCTTGGGTGTCAGTGGGAAAATATCTTATATCTATTTTCTTATAAAGCCAAGGAATAACGCCAACAAGTGTGGAAGCCGAAAGGGCATTTTCTGCTGCTGGCTATATTACCTCTAAAATATGTAGTAGTTTGGCAGACAACAGGGGGCCAATTCTACTAATTTACAACGATTGATCAATAGCGTTCCTGTAACGGTTCCGTTTCGATTTTTGCAGTAAATTTGCATTCTGCTAACGTTAATTATCAAACGAACGTTTACTAAACTAAAACGTAGACGTAACTACAACTGAACCGGAACCAAAATCAAGCCGAACCCTGGCCGAACTACAGCTGAACCAAACAGCTGTCTGTAGTGTTACCAACCCTGCGATTCTGTAAAAATCCAAACTCGAATTCCGGTGTCCGAATTCACTTCAAAAAGCAACATCCGCTCAACTTTGAATTGGTCATAACGTTTCGTGGCTTTAGTGAAGTGAGTGAGTGAGTGAGAGTGAGTTTGAAAATGACGTAGGAATAGAATATCTGAGATACGTATAATTAATCGTTTTTGTTTTGTATTTTCATCCAAAAAAATAAATTTCTACACTAAATGACGTGAATTCGGACACATGAGTAAATTCTAATTTGGGTCTGATTTTTTAACATAATCGCAGGGCAGAATAAACTAAATGAAATTACAACCAGTTCAATGAGATCATCTTTTATAGTTTTTGTATGAAAAACCTAGATTCTTATTCGAAAGTTTCCAAAATACGGGCGTAATAACTGAGTATTAGCCACATTATGATGAAAATGCATACATATCTAAATCTCAAACTATAGGAAAAATATCCCAAAATGGGTTCTATACTTGATAAATAAGCTTTCAAATTTAAATTTTAAAGTATAATCACGATCATACGAAAACAAAAAATGTTTTCACCAAATATCACCCAAATATTTAGCTGATATACGGTGAGTTGCACAAACGTCCATTAAGGTCTAATGACGCCTTTAAGCTCTAATGATTGTCAAATTTGTATGGGTAATGTCGCCTTAAACTAATGATAATTTTAATTGACGTTTGTGCAACTGGCTGTTAGTAAGACATGGCCCATTTCAGCTAAAAAACAAAAGATTACGTAGGTAGTATTTGGAATTCATTCAAAATCGGAAAGGAAAGGTGAATTTGTTCAAAGAGTATGTATATTTTTTACGAAAGTAGGTATTTTAATCGATTTCGTCTTGAATTATGAACTAATTTCTATAAAACTAGCTGTATCCCCACGACTGTGCCTGCATAAATTATGAACTATTTTCAACGCGTATTAAGTAGCTTCCCATAGGTAAAAGAAGCAAGCAATTAAATCTTTTCTCTTTTTATAATATGATATAGGAATAACTGACAAAAAATATGAATAAAATCTTCATTTCTAAGACTTTCACTATGTTGAATAATTTTATTTATATAGATATTTAATATTTTTAGTGTTACCTTAATAGGTATATAATTATAAATCAAATATCAATATCACTAAAAGCATGAAATAAAAGCATTTTAATAAAAATAGAAATGACTTTAAACTTTCAAAATTTATCATAAATTATACATATCTCAAAAACTACTTATTCAAGAAAATATATTGAAGTTGAGCGCCTATCATTCAATTAATAACCTACAGAAGACCTTCGCCCAACAGCATTAGGTTTTTCGTATAACATTTCCAATTACGGGCATGGGTAATTATATAATTATAATAGGTATGTCGCAGCCAAGTGGTATAATCAGCCTACAAATTGGGCGGTTAGCCCTTTAATTGAATGGCACCATTCAAACGGGCTGACTTTCGATCAGCCGAGTAGTTGAACGCAACGCAGTAAAACTATCGTACTCACTTATAATGCAAGTGGGTAAAGCTTGAATATTAATAATATATTCTTAATATTAACACAATTATACGCAGATACGATATACCGCGATTCAAATGGCTATAGCGCCATTTATCGAAAGCAGAATAAGCAATGTATTTCACTGCGATTGTTTTAGTATGTTTATTACGATTTCGAAGTTTGGTGCTTCAATTGTAAATAACAACACAAAATGATAAACAACAAAGTTATTTTGATCTTGAAGGTCACATGATAGGTTAGAAATTTGAAGCGTAGCGCAGCGATCCTCTTTAATTTCGAGGTTATTTTTTTAACACATAACAAAACTAAATTAACGCTTCGGCGGCTTTTGAATAAGCTGTCTTGTCGAATGGTCCAAATGTCATAATGATTCAACTAGAAAACTAATCTAAACTAATTAAATGACGCCGTTCAACTAAATGGTTAGCCGCCTAATTGGTCGGCAGATTATACCACTTGGCTGCGCCAGTTATATAGGTTTATTTTTGTCAAACCAAGATGTTTCGAGTGAATTTGGTTTACAAAATTAAATTGTGCAAGACCATAAAATAAATCCCATTCCACTACTAAAACGAAATCCATCCGTATATGTATTGTTGTGTAATGTCTTGCATTCCATAAAATGTGTCGAGTATTGTCCCAGGTTCGCTCGCTATATACCTAGTATCTTCTGCTTAGTCTGTGCTCGCTATACTGTCTTAAGAAGTGAAACATAAAACCTTATCTTCGGAAAGCGCGGGAAACTTTGAAGAAGTGGGTTGTCTTTTTTTTGTTTTCTAGTTTTTAATTAATAATTTGGATAGTGGAACTTAAAATTACTGTAAATTTATTTTAATTTAGTGTATTTGTGTATATTCTATTATTTTTATATTAATACTTCGAGTTCTGGTAAGTCTATCATATTGTTTTCCATGAACGATCCTGATGACCCTGGGGGGTCAGCCCCCCAGGCGTCTAATTTTGTTACGATCACCAATGCCTCTGAAATGGATACTGAAGGATCTCTATTTGATACGGATTGTTCTGATTCTAATCATAATTCCAAGCGCAAAAGATCGTCATCACGAAAAATATGCAAACACTGCAATAAAAGGAAGAAGAGAAGTCAAAACAAGGGTTCTGATCACATTTCGCTTACAAATATTGACTGTCACTGTGATGTTTCTCAACCTAGTAATAAATTTATTGGTATAAAAGATGTTGAAGCTTCCCACTCGGTACCGGAACAGGAGTCTCTGCCACATTCATCTCAAGTTTTAGATAACACTTCTCGTGTACCTATTGGTAGAATTCAATATCAAGCTTCAGATGCAGCTCCTTTTATAGTATATATTCAACGAGAACCTACATCTAGTAGTGAAAATAATACAATACACCCAGTTTCATTAGGACGCTTCTTGAAAAAATATTCTTTCCAAAATATAATCAACGGTAGTCTGAAAAAAATCGGTAGGAATAAAGCCTCAATTTCGTTTTCAAATTTCCAAGATGCTAATAATTTTGTTAATAGTAGTAATCTAAAATTAAATAACTACAAGGCCTTTATTCCTACTCACAATATTACTCGAATGGGAGTTGTGAGAGGTGTACCTATAGATTGGACAGATGATGATATAATGAGCAAAATTTCAGTACCAATAGGCTGTGGAGATATTCTTAAAATTAGAAGGATAAAAAAAAAAGTTGTAAATAATGGTAAAACTGATTTTATTCCTATAGAAACAGTGATTTTGACATTTGATGGGCAAGTTTTGCCCAAAAGGATATTCTTATGTTACAATTCTCTTCCTGTGGACTTGTATATTTTCCCTACCATACAATGTTACAAATGCTGCAGGTATGGCCATATAAAATCACAATGCCGGTCAGTTTCAAGGTGTTTCAAATGTGGATCAGGACACTCTGGCGATAATTGTGCTGTAGAAGAAGAAAATTTTAAATATTGTCTATGTTCTGGTTCTCATATGGCTACTAGTAGAAAGTGTCCTGAATTCTCAAGACAAAAAAGTATTAAGGAGAGTATGGCTAAGAACTGCATTTCTTATGCAGAGGCATTGAAACTTCACCCACCTGTACATAAATCATATGCTGAAATACTTACTTCTGCCTCTCCATTTTATTCAAATTTGAATCAACCTATTCAAAATAATTCTCTAAAAAGTTTCAGCCCCTCAAAAAAAAATTCAAACTCAACCTCATATAAAAAAACTGTATTTATAAAACCCAAACAACCTTATTCTCCTTCAAAAGGTTATGACCATGCAACTCATGCTGCAATCATTAATGAGTTTAATATTCCTTCATCACCCAATGGTAGTGCTTTTGTGAACAATAATAATGATTCTCCTCTTTTAGATCTCCCAATTAAAGATTTAATAATTGCTCTTATTCAGTCCTTGTCTAAGAATAAACTCATTTCTCTACCGCCCAACGCTGCTTTTTTTGATAGTCAAGACATAGTTTCAAATCTCCATAATGGACACAGTAATTCAGTGGAATTGTAGAAGTGTAAATAACAAAAAATCTGATTTAATTTACCTTATTAACAGATTTAATCCTTTTGTTGTCTCTATCCAAGAAACATGGCTTCGGCCTGGTTTTAACTTTAAACTTCCCGGTTTTGCATGTATCCGTGAAGACAGGCTAGGAAATGAAGTGGGCTCTGGTGTGGCCCTATTTATAAAAAATCATTTGTTTTTTAAACACATTCCCATTCCTAACCATAATACTGACTTTTCTATAATTGCTATAAATATTAATAATATCTGTTTTGTCTCTGTATATATTCCATACCCCTCTTCTCTTATATATGATGAAATTGAAAATATTTTAAATAATCTTCCTAAACCCATTATATTCATGGGTGACTTCAATGCCCAATATACTTCTTGGGGTAGCTCTTCCTCAAATCACTATGGCAGTAGAATACTTGATATGTTACATACACATAACTTATGTTTATTAAATACTGGTAAACCTACACGTAGAACTCAATCTCATGAAGGAAATAGTGCTCCTGACTTATCAATTGTCTCTCCTAGTCTTGCCGTTTCCTTGACATGGACTACCCTAGACTCAACATTCGGTAGTGATCATTATCCTATTCTTATTTCCTTCCCAAATAATACTGTAAAAAGGCCACCCGAACGTTCACCCCGCATGAAATATAAATCAGACAAAAATAAATGGGATGATTTTAAAGAAAATATTGAACAGAACATTCACTCTCTTCCCAACATTGATAAAGATAATCATTCCCATTGTGCTTCTTCTCTAGCCATACTTTTAATAGAAACTGCAAATAAAATATTTCCACTCAAAAACAATCGGCTAAAAATTAATAATTCACATAAAACACAAAACGCTAACTATCGATCGTCAAAAAGTAGAAATTATCAACTTATATGAAACTGTTAATTTTGACATACGAAACGATCCGATTTCGTAACGTTTCGATCTATATAAGTGTCAAAATTTTAGTGGATTAAGAGTCAATGATCGACTCAAGTTAGATTGTGCGAAGAGAATACCGTTGACAGTTTCTATTGATCGATAGTTAGCTAAACTAAAACAGAAATGGAATTGTAAATAAGTCACGTGTTTTTAATATTTGACATTCAGAACATAGAGTATCCATAGATTTAATTATTTGGTAAATGAGAATACCTAACTAAACTAATTTTAACTTAATAAGAAGTGCATCTTATTTAAAATTGAGTTGGTAATGATCGGTTAAATAAAATACTTTATACTGGCAAATATCGACATGAGCGATGGTAGCGACAGCGCCGCGGCAAAAAACTTTTGAAATAACTAATATATAAATTAATATTGCGTAAATAAATTAATAAAGTTAAGTCCTAACTCATACATTATTTTGATGTTGTAATTTGATTTTTTGTTAATTAACTTTTATGTCAGTATTAACTTATGCGAATGATTTTAATCCGCCATTGGTGATGTATATGTCTGTGAGACCGGGTAGTTTAAAAACAAATAATATTTTTTACACCGTTTATCGTATTGCGTTGCAATTTCGAGTAGCTGCCTTAATGCACGCCCTCTACCATTTATCCACCCCGCGACAGCGACGCGGGCGCACGTTCCTGGTTTTTGGCGCCAACCCGGTCCGTGAGACCGGTGGTCACCAACGAAGTAAGTCAATGTTTGTTGTGTATTTTATATTTCACTTATTTTGATAAGACTGTTGTTGTTATTTATAGTGGTGATTGTAAGATTTTATGTTTAGTTATCGTTTCACGCGTTTTTAAGATATTTTACTAGATATTATGAGAAATATTTACGTATTTTTCAAATAAATAGTGTTTTTTTTGTCGTTTTAGTATGTCTTATGAACAGCAACAGCGACGTCTTGAGGCTCTTCTGCAGGAAGCGAGTTCGGATACAGACGAATTACAAAGGTCATCGGAAAGTGAGACTGGAAGTGACCTTGAACCGGAAAATGTGGAACAAGATCAGATACAAAATTCGGAGAGCGAAGAGGATTTGAGTGACCGAGAAGCTTCAGGTAATGAAAGCTTATCATTTTATTTGGGAAAGGACATATCAACGAAGTGGAGTACAGAGCCACATCGCCAATCTGTCCGTACTAGAAGGTTCAACATCATATCTCAGTTACCAGTTATAGTTACCATAAGGAGTTATTGCGGATTAGAAAGATCCGTTTCAAATATGGAAATACTTTTTCGACAATAATATAATAAACATTATTGTAAAATACACCAATCAATACATTGACTCAGTGAAACATAAATTTATAAGAGAGACGTATGCGAGACCGACTAATTTCAATGAGATACAATGCTTTATGGGTTTGATTCTACTAGCCGGAGTAAAAAAATCGAATCATCTCAATGTTGAAGAATTGTTTCGGATAGATGGCGGTGCTGTAGAAATATTTCGACTTTCTATGTCTGCTCAAAGGTTTAAATTTCTTCTGCGAGTTTTGAGATTTGATGATATTAACACGAGGCAGCAAATAAAAGCACAAGACAAAATTTGTCATATCAGAGAAATCTTTGAGATCAAGATTCAGGCTCTCTGTGACGCTAAAATGTTTTACACATTTAGTATGGTAATTTATCCCGGTAAGCAGCCAGTTGAAGGTCCCTTCAATATTGATAATTCTGGCCTAGCTGTTGTACAAAGATTATGCGAACCAATTTTCAATACTGGTCGAAACGTCACAACTGATAATTGGTACACTAGTTTACCATTGGCAGATGCGTTACTTGAGAAGGGACTATCAATGGTTGGGACAATCAGGAAGAAAAAAAAAGGAATTCCTCCGGACTTCAGTGTATTACGTGGTCGGAGAGTGAAGTCTAGTATGTTTGGTTTTCGTTTCAGATGTTCCAAAAGCAAGAAAAAACGTCCTTCTAATTAGTACTATGCAATAATGATAATAAAGTTGACACTGCAACTCAAAAACCCGATATAATTTTCAGCTAGATACAATGATACAAAGGGTGGCGTCGATGTCGTAGATCGTATGTGTGCAAATTATAACTGTGCCCGACCGACAAGGCGTTGGCCTATGGTGGTCTTTTACGCTATTATGAACGTCAGTACTATAAACAGCCAGGTGATACATACAGCTAATAATCAAGACTCGAAACTTTTACGTCGTCACTTCATTGAGAATTTGGCTATGAACCTGATTGAACCACATATAAGAAAACGACAAACACAGTTGAACTTGCCGCGATCATTGAGCAAAGACTTTCGGAAATTTTGAAGATCGATGATGCGCCTGGGGTAGCTGGTTGAAGGACCAGCTACCCCAGGCGCATCAGGAATCACCCCAGGCGCAGACCAGGAATGGTCGTTGCTTTGAATGTGGATGGCAAAAAAACCGAAAAACAAGGTTCACTTGCCATAAATGTAAAAAATACTTGTGCCTTGAGCACGTAGTACCTACTTGCTCAAATTGTTTGGCTGTTGACGATGAATGATTTTAGTGTTATATTTTGTGGAAGAATTAACATTTTTATTTTTTGTTTTATGTTTCCAATGTCATAAGACTGACTAAGGCTGATTTCATAGTTATTATGCCAAAATTTGTTTCTAGGTTTGTTAGTTTAAATAATGTTGCCGTAATACCTTATGATTATAATGCATCCAAAGATATTGTCTAGTGCTAATAAAAAAGATTTGATTTATATTTTTGCCTTTATTTATTGATAACAAATGTCCTATTTTATATCCTTTTTAACTTAAAACAGTATAAACAATATTAAAAAAGAAATACGAGGTGCCTAAAATCCCGGTGCAGTAGACCGGGGTCACCGACGATGTAAGCTAAATAGACGTCACCAATAGCGGGTTATGACGACAATAGAAGGAGGGTAACATCAGTAAGACAGCTTGAACTTCTTTTAGATTTTATGGAATCTCATAGAGATTTGGCAGTCGGTCGCATCCGCTCCAAAAAAGCTCGAGCTGTAGCGAGCCGTTTGTGGTCGCAATGTGCGGAAAGATTGAATTCGGAAGGTACTATAAGAAGTCCCAAGGAATGGTCAAGGGTAAGTTCACTTATTTTTAAATTAAAAATCATGGAAAAATCGATTATCTTTAAAAAAGACTGTAATATAACATTATTTTTAGTTTTGGAACGTCTACAAGTGCCGGATAAAATCGAAATTATCCGCAATTAATAGAGCCCAAAATGGTACAGGAGGTGGCCCAAATATGGCGCCACAATTATCCCCTTTGGAGGAAAGGGTCACTGTGCTTATAGACAGAGACATAGGTCCAGTTCTTTTAATAATTTGAAAAGAGGAAGATAGTTTAGTTGGCATAATAAATTTGTAGTAAAATAATGGAAAAATAATGCTTTTAAGTTTTATTAACATTTATTTTCACAATATGAATGTATGGATTTAAAAATATAAGAATAGTTATTAAGAAAAACATTTTATGTGATTATACTTTTGTTATGAAAATTGTTCTGAAGCTTTTAACAATCAAGAAAAATGTTTGAAGTTAATCATTGAAATGTATACACTTACAGATCATCATAGAGTTCTATTAGATCATTGGGCATTTATTTTTATTGACTCAAAATTTTTACATGTTTAAGAGGGGTCCATTGGAGGTGGAAGTGTCATCGGAGGTGGAAGTACCATTAGAGGTGGAAGTACCATTGGAGATAGAAGTACCAGATGACTTCATACTAGTACCACAATAATCTCCTGTATTGTAAGTTTCAAATTTATTATTTGTTGAAAGATAATTAATCAAACAACAAAGTAGAATAGGTACAAATATATTATATATATATGTTGTAATCAGCTGATTTTAAAAATCATAAATAAAAATGACATACCATCATGGTGCATAAGATAAGATCATAGTATAATGACAGATCATCTAAGGCAACAAATCAGCAAAAAAAGGACAACAATTATTATATATGTATCACTGAATAATTATAACCTTTTTTTACAGGGATCTCTCATCTTTGCCCAATGTAGCTGAAGATCCAAGTGACCATGAATCCAGTAGAACACAAACAATAAATAGTCCTGCAGTATCGGAAATAGTGGAGCAACCAGCTGCTACTGGCAGTGCACCAAAAGCATCAGGTTGTTAATTAACACTCAAGAACAATAACTTATTATAGTATCAAGATATATAAAAAAAATTTTCAGCCCGAAACTCCAGACGTACCAGAGAGCAACAAGTCGTGTTCGCCACTCAACTCGTCCATAACATAGTGTTGAAGCCTATGTCAAGACACAGGTCAAGATAATCGAAGATAATCGAAATTTAATTGAAGTTGTTAAATTGCATCCAAATTTTCATAAGGCGTTATATTTTTGTAAAAACTGTTGTGAGGTAGGTTAGTGCTAACTACTCACTTTCACTTTTCGCTCGACCATTGAATTGTAAAGAAGCAAAATTACCGAGATTATACATTTATTTCAAGTATTTCAGGGTTTTATTGAAGAAACTCCATTTTTGTGCTAAAACACATAGTCATAAATTGTTTTTTGTTATATTTGATCTAAACATCTTAGATTTAATAATATTTATATAACAGTTAAATGATTAACCATAATAATTTTAACCCTTTAATCTAGATACTTATCAGAAACTCGAGCTTCAATTGTAAGAATTGAAGAGATTAGAGCAAAAACAGAGCAGATTTTAGCAATAGCTAGTGCAAATCAAGCGGAAGCGGCATTACTACAAAGCTCGCGCTTTCCAAAATATTGCTCCATTGGCACCATCGCAGAAGTTCTACAAATATATTTTGCAAATTCACAAAGGGTACCGTAAAAATCCCTAACTTCGCCTGCGAGCCCTAACTTCGCCTGTTTTAAAGAAATTTTTAATTTACGATTTTTCATAAGGCTGTATGCACTTTGAAACTACCAAAAACAAATCATTTTTATTCCTGGTAAAGATTTTGCTGGCAACTCGTAGCTAACTTCACTACACTAGTGACAGTTGCGTTTTTTCGGAACCAGGACGGAGCGTCTTTGTGGACGCGCAAAAAGTTAACTATTGATTGACGTAAGTTTTGTAGGTTTATGTACCAAAATGATGTAACTTTAGGTTTGTCAGGCCCCATATAAAAAAGCTCATACACCTTTATTCATATTCATATTCTTGTTGCAATACGATTTTTTTTGTTCTAGTCATAATGGGACGGTCGAAGAAGTAAAAAAAAAGAGAAATTATACACGAAAATATAATCCTGAAATATTAGATATTGCGGTGGGATTATTAAAAGATAAAAAAATTTCGTCTTACGAAGCTGAAAAAACATTTGGCATTCCACGACGAACTCTTCTAGATAAAATGCATGGTAAACATAAACTAAGCCCAGGCTGTCCTACGCGACTTACTCCTGACGAGGAAAAAAAAATAATAAATGTGCTCACTGATGCTGGTGAATATGGCAGTCCTCTCACTCTGCTCGATTTAAGAATTTTCGATTTAATACTTGACTGAGAATGGGAAAACGGCTCTTTTTAATAACAACATACCGGGGAAAAAATGGGCATACTCCTTTATAAAACGGCATAAAGACGAACTTACTCAAAGAACAACACAAAACATCAAAAGAAGCAGAGTTGAGAAAACTACTGACGAAATGGTTAACTACTTCAATAATTTGAAAAGATCTTTAGATGGAATACCAAAAGAAAACTTTATCAACTACGACGAAACCAATTTAACGGATAATCCCGGTTCGCAAAAATGTTTATTTCGTCGAGGTGTACAGTCGGCCAAGAAAGTGGTCTACCACCCTAAGGTTGAATTTCGCATGTTACGTCAACTAACAACAAGGTTGATTTACCGTAGCAATAATTTTTTGACACGTCAAGTACACGTCATTATTGCTATCTTCATCATTTTGACGTAACCTTTGACAGTAATTATCTATACCTATAATAAATATGTAACAAGGTTACATTTGTAAGATATTTTGGAAAAAAAAATATATGGACGGCCTTCATAAGACTAATAGAAGCCAAAAATATTTTTTTTCTGTTTGTCTGTTTGTATGTTTAAATACTTTAGAGTTAGAATATCGTAAATAAAGTCTTATAGTCTACAAATATCCTACATTAGAATGTAGATTAATAATATTTTAATACAAATAAAAAAAATCAGTGGGTAGTGAAATGCTATGCGTAAGAAGCTATGCGTGTTATAGGTCTGAATATACTGAGATAACGGATAACAGAAATGAATAGCGACGAAAAACATATTGCGCCGACCCATAGCTTAGTGCGAGACAAGGGCTAAAACTAGAAGAGATAGTGAAAATGCTAATTCTTTGGTTGTTAAAAAATATATACAATTCTTTTATAAAATTATAATTCTTAAAAGCTTGTGTAGCCGCCATCTGCCTCTATAACAGCTTGGAGACGTTCACTCATCGAGCCCACCAGTCTTGAGCAGATATCAGACCCACGTGTTTCCTCCCAAACCTCATTGCAGTGCCCTTGTAGTGCTTCTGCTGTTCGTTCATTACGGTTACACCATCTCTGAACCATAAGACCCCACATATTTTCAATAGGGTTGAGATCTGGCGATTTTGTAGGCCATGGTATCAAGTTTATTTCCGGATGTGCATCAAACCAAGCACGTGTTACCCTTGCTTTATGTAAGGGACAGTTATCCTGTAAATAATTAAATTGACGCATTTCATTTTCTGGATAAACGTTCCGGACGGATGGCAACATAGCATTTTGGAGAATATCAACATAATCTGATGCCGTTGCTCGTGGTAGCAAAAAGGTCAAGTCTCCAACACCATCAGCAGTCATCCATCCATACAAATTTACCGAGATACGACCCGATTCTCTATTTGGCACGACATGATTTTGCGTGTATCGCGTTTTATTGGATCGCCAAAGGTGTAGACGCCCGCGTTGACTGGATTTAAAAGTTTTCTCGTCACAGAAAACAGTGTTACTCCAATCAAAATCCAAATATTCTATGGCGAAATTTAATCTGGCCATTCTATGAGCGTCAGTCATATAAATTTTCTTTGCATAACGCCTGTGATGTAAGCCCATGTAATGTAAATGGTTTCTAATGGTTTGGAGAGTCACGTCAAATATGTCGGCAAAATAACGCGTTGGTATAAAGCCAGATTCCTCATAACTCCGTCTCATGAAGACTCGCTGAGTATCTGATATTTCAGGTCTACGACCGCTACGACTCCGAGCGTTCAAATTCCCCTCCTCGCTTTCTCGTCTTATCCAAAGACGGACAGCTTGTCTCTATAATCAAAAATAAAATATGAACAGAAAAAATAAAAAAAAAATTTAACGCTGGGACTTGGTCTGAGATTTTACATTAAACTGACGTCATACATAATAATACTTACCGACACATTTAACTCTCTAGAAATCTCACTAATATTCAAACCATCATTGTGTAATGCGATTATTTGTGCTCTTTCGTTAATGGATAAATTTCGGGGCATTGTAGTGTAAATTAATTAGGAAAATACCTACGGAAAATGCCGAGAAAATATTTGACATGAATTGTCAAGTGATATATTCTTTTTCAGTAAAAGAGTTTTCGTAACAAAATAGTTTCCACTTTGAAGTGACCTACTTAAATTTTAAATTTATGAAATATTGTGAAGACTATTTGTTGTTGCAAATTATTATCTAATGCATAGGCTGCAAAGGTCAAAATAACATTTGTACTCTACGACAACACGTCAGCATTGTGCATCTCTTTTATTGTTTGTATGCAATTCTAAGATTCGCCTTTAGCGATGCTTTAAAGACACGGGATATGTTGTCAAAACTGGTAGACCACTTTCTTGGCCGACCGTACAATACCCTGAAAGGGTACTAAACTATACAAAAGGTGCCATTTATATAATGTTTGCCATTACAGCTGGGGGTGAATGTTTACCGCCATATCTATAATATATAAAGCTTAATTACCACTGACTGACTGACTCACTCACTCACTCCATGCTTTTTTCGGGTAGAAAGAGTGGGAAAATGATGTTTTCATGTATGGAGACTGACAATATATTTTTTTAATGAGTTGAAATGGTATTCCTATGCAGCCAAAAAACAAAATGGCGGCGAGATAATTTTTTTAATTTCTACAGTATTCACTCTACGTTTACCATATTCAAAATGGTCGTAGAGTGGGCTAAAAAAATGGCAATGAAAAAAGGTTTGTTAAAAAAAACAAAATGGCGGCCGAGATATTTCACCTGGAAAATGTGCATTTTTCGACCTCTGTTCGGGCAATCGTCAATTGTTTTGTGGTGGGTTCGGAGGGGGGATTTTTGCTCCTTCAGCTCGGAAGTATAGTCGATTTTCACGTACGGGGAGTTTTCATTTGCGCGTCAACATGGCGGCGGCGGGGGCGGCCATTTTGTTTCGGCAATGAAAAATCGCCATTTTCCAGTGAGATTTTCTCCAAGATGGCGGCAATGTACTGGTTTTCTTTATATGGGGCGGTCGTAGGGCTCGGTAGGATCTTTCCATATTAGTACTAATTTCTACCATTTTTGTGGTAGTTTATGAGATTTTGGGAGAAAAGTGAAATTTCGAAATACGCACTTTTCGCGGAAAACAGACTCGGTGCGGTGTGGCGCCGGGGGAGCCCTATGATTTTTGGTAGTTTTCGTTTCCACGAGCTGACAACCCTGGGCTCCACGGTAGAAAATATTTTTTTCGACATGCCCTCATA